CAGGTTGGCTATGGCCCATCTACTGAGTGGCTCCATGCCGCTGGCTTCCAGGACTTCCAAGCCACTCCAGCGCAGTTCACGGAGTTGAGACGTCGTTACGAGAAGACTCAGAAGGAAGCCGATGAAATCCGCGACTCGGCATTAAATGCGTGATTGTTGAAGCTCCAATTTCATTTTTTTACTATTGGCATCGTTTACTTCTTATTTTTGAGTGACTCTATTGAGTCCTGTGTGGATGGCTGTTTGTTAGAACAATCAACTCATCCGATGCGCCTTGCTATGCTTAATGCCTATATTTGGTTTAACCCTCGCTATGTAGTGGAAGATGTTTCTCCAAATGATCCAGTAGAGATATTGAGATTTACGTCAATGGTAGAGAGGTGGCACGAACTAGGCTCAGGACATCGTCATCGTATCGTACACCGCCGTAGCAAGTTGTGATTGGCAATTATATCACCGATTATCGTGCGGAATGTTCGTCATTATGGCGCATCTTGGGATGGTAACCTAGCAACCACGGTTGAGAAGGTTGATTATATAGCTACTCCCCCTGAGGGAATTGATTAGCCTAAGGCATAGCCACCCCGCCTCAGGGAATTGATTATAAGCCTAGGGCATAGCCACCCCGCCTGAGGGAATTGATTATAAGCCTAAGGCATAACCACCCCGCCTGAGGGAATCGATTATTATACTAGGGCATAGCCACCCCGCCTGAGGGAATTGATTATTATACTAGGGCATAGCCACCCCGCCTGAGGGAATTGATTATTATACTAGGGCATAGCCACCCCGCCTGAGGGAATTGATTATTATACTAGGGCATAGCCACCCCGCCTGAGGGAATTGATTATTATACTAGGGCATAGCCACCCCGCCTGAGGGAATCGATTATTATACTAGGGCATAGCCACCCCGCCTGAGGGAATTGATTATTATACTAGGGCATAGCCACCCCGCCTGAGGGAATTGATTATTATACTAGGGCATAGCCACCCCGCCTGAGGGAATTGATTATTATACTAGGGCATAGCCACCCCGCCTGAGGGAATTGATTATTATACTAGGGCATAGCCACCCCGCCTGAGGGAATTGATTATTATACTAGGGCATAGCCACCCCGCCTGAGGGAATTGATTATTATACTAGGGCATAGCCACCCCGCCTGAGGGAATTGATTGTAATGGAAAAATGTATCGAAGTGAGAAGTTTCCGGGGGTGCAGCCGATAGCATTCGTGTGTTATAAAGACATCACCCTTCATCTCTTGCCAGCAATTGGCTATTCTCAAAATATATGTTCTTTGATGAAGATGATCTCCCTAACCTAAGCCCTAGTAGCCTCACGCTGTATATCAAGAAAAATGGTTACGAGATGGAAGGTATCAGAATCGAACTTCCTACGACGGCGACCATGCAGGAATTGTTCGATAAAGCACAAGAATGCCTGGGCTTGGACTTGCCGGTCGAACGCGTATTCTTCAGCAACGGGTTCGAAGTATCAGAAATGAGTCATATAGAACAGAATGAGGTGCTCTATGTGAGTACAGGTGGGAATTTCAGATCACCCACACGAAACCCGTTGTCTCGGAATGTGGCCAACTACATACTTGGTGAAACTCTGGGTGAAGGCGGCTATGGTGAAGTCGTGAAGGCTGTTGACTCAACCACGAAAGAGGAGTTCGCTATGAAATTAGTGAAGAAATCTAGCTTCAGCAGGTTTGAAGACATACAGCGAGTCTACACTGAGATCGACACGTTGCGAGCTCTTCGTCATCCTAACGTCATCCGCATGGTCGACGTTGTGGATCATCCAGAGTATATCTGCTTCGTGATGGAGCTGGCAAGCGGAGGAGAGTTGCGACGGTTCGTTGAAAGGCATGGCCCTCTTGATGAGAACAGTAGATAACAAACGTGACACTTCCGAAGGTTATTGACATCTCACTCAGTCTCCCGGCATATATTCAATCAAATAGCGAAAGCAGTTCACTACTGTCATTCGAAACGGGTCGTCCATAGAGACCTCAAGCTGGAGAATATCCTCATGGATGAGCACAACTGCTGCAAGATAGTTGACTTCGGTCTAGCCGTAAGCTTTCAGCCCGAGCCACGCTGATGCAATATGGCTCTAGGACTTCGCTGTGATCCCCGAGATAATGGTCACAGATGCTGGCACTGAGGCGTACTTGGCGCCTGAGGTCTATAGAGGTGAGCTTATGCTCTGACCGAACTCCTGGTCTCGTTCTTCCTAGGGGAGAGTGTGGGGAACGACCCCTTCAAGATCGACGTGTGGTCCCTTGGCGTCATCCTTTATGCCCTGACTCACGGCAAACTACCATTCGAACGCCCTGCGAAGGAGGTCTGCGAGAGACTCGAGCGAGTAAGTCGACCAGAGAGAGGTCCCGGCTGCTGGCATTTTCTTTCGCGTTGAGTCCACCTCCGTCTCGTTTGGGTATCGATCGGCCACGCTCTCTCTCTGTATGGACTCATCTGGCTCTGCTGCAGCTGTTTGCTACAGGAGTTCTAGACGTATCTTTTTCTTTCTTCTCGAGGTGGGCCCTGATTTCAAGGCCGATGCAAGTTCACCGCTGCGAAGCCTCATCAGGAGGATGCTCACGCCCAAGGTTAGAAAGAGATGCTCAATGGATGATGTAGGCTTTATATTTTTCGAATCTCGATGTCACGTCCTGCCTCATGCCGCTACCGTTTTGATATTCCCTAGACCAAGGTCTAGCTATTGCTCAGATTACAACAGACCCGTGGCTGAGTCGAGGACGTTACGTTCGCTGCACTCTAGTTCCGCGTGGGTATCAGCCGAGCTTCTCATGGTAAGTTGACACACAATAGTTTCTCATTTCTTCAGAAATGCCTGATGCTCGCGTGGTGATCCAAGAGATGAATTCATGAAAGATAGAGAAGCCGCTCCTGAATGACATAGTTCATAGCCGCCTTCATCCTTGGTGACTTGTCGCGTTCTGCAACATCTGAGGTCGCTCGGCCGCTAGAGGTATACTCAACCCAACAGTACACACGTCTTGTCTACAACAGCAAGGAAGGGAGGAAGGGCAGCTGCTGGTGCTGCCCTGCATGGGCTCTGTCATTCCGCACATCGGAAGTTTGTCGTATCCGCATCGGGCATTAACAAATCCGGAATCCTCCCTGTCACTAGTGAATAACTATTAGTATTTCAGAACCAGACTTCTTCATGAACAAGAGACGTCTTTCATCTGCGGCTACGGTTACACTTTCCGTCACAACCGTCCGTCCCGAATCTTCCACATCACTCTGCACCTCATATTTGAAAAAAGTCTCCGCGGTAGAGGAAACGTTTAGAGGGTCTTTCTCAACCACATCCGTTGATTCACGACGATCGAACTTGTCCAAAGCCAGCTGTATTTCAGCATTGATAAGTAAACTCATCCGTGTGATGAAGCTAGAGCCAACCTCAAGTGCTTCTGCTTCTACATCTGTCACCAATTCCTTCGTATTGGCACAGGTCATTTGCTGGTCTCTGGTTTGTTCACACTCCGTTTCACTGTATGAATCATTTCGAACTTCATCGTCTGCGGTGACCACTACGCCGTCTGAGTTTCTACTGCCCCCATACGTCGACCCTGACCGAGATTCCTCACTCACAGCCAGAGTGCTGTCTGCTTCCGCCCGAACGGACTGTGGGTCTCCACTCGGAGCACTGGGCAAATTATCGAAAGTTTCAATTGTCTTCTGGACAATCCCGCCGAAAACTGGTCTCACATGTTCGAGTCGGTTCCCCTCGTCTTGCGAAGATGTGCTCATGCCAGGCTCCATCATAACTAAGTTAACTCCATGATTCTCTGTGTGTGGTCATTCTTGCCCAGGATTTGTCCCCCCGTGTCCCCGTCAACGGGAAACGACTTCCCTTGCCCATCAGGGGTTCTGGTCCCTTGCGGGAAGAAGCCGACTATCTTAGTGAATACATCCTGATCTGTAGATTCATCGCGGACAATAGCCTGCCTTCTCTCATTTTCACCTTCGCACATTTCTATCAGAGAGTTTTAAATTCACTGTGTTGGTTGATCTCGACTCCTTTCGATAGCTGCTTTATGGGATCTGGCGAATCCCCAAAGTTGTCTCTCGAGTTTTCCCGCAATTTCGTACTGATTAATCACTACCATTGTCTGTGTCGTCCCGTTCGGGCGAGCGCGTCATAGATGAAACGCATGACAATGGAGTGATATTGCTAGAAAAGGTTTTTGTAAGCCCACCAAGGCCCTACACTTGTGTTACAAGGAGTGGTTAATTCTATAGGTATAAAATGTCATCCACCTTCTGCTTCCTCTTTATCACGGTGTTCTCGTTCTACTCGATTATGTGATTTGGTATAAGGAGTTATAATTTCAGTTGATGCGAGGGTTCGAGACGAAGCATCCAGTAGTCGAGTGGACGAATGTTAGGAAAGATACCAAGTAATTCTACGGAGGAGCACTGCTTGTGTCATCATGTGATTTTAGAATCGACTATCCTGACTCAGGATTCCTGATGGTGATGAACTTATGGAGAAGTTCCAGGATCCAAGCCAGGCTGATAAGACATCAGGTACTATCGACATCTGTCATTAGTACTTTATCCTGTGCCATGGCGATTCCGTCCAACTCACATACCAAGTAAAGGCTTGACTCATGCACTGCCTCTGAAGCTTGGTAGAGCATTTGCCGATCTGCGTGGCCGAGTGTTACGCTCTGTCGACTTCGAGCATTTCGAATCTAAAAAAGGGCAAGGGAAAGGAGGTAGAGCCGGACCCAGCTACCAGGCATACCTTTTTCCAAAGCCTTTCCACGCGGGCCGAACATTTCTGGTTTTTATGTTCTAATCTTTGTTTGTCTATCCTACTTTGTTGTGAAGCTATCTCGTCCTTAAGTTCGGGTAACTAATAACACACATTAGGAACCAACAATCTAAAGCCCTAAGAGTTGTAGTCCCGTTGAATTTTATATTAGAGTTTCGAAGTTTGCAGTTCTCCGCACGAGGGTTCTCCGCAGTATCGCACGAGGGTGAGTGGTGCCGAAAGTACATGGTGATACTTCCACGTACTAACACAGTCGTAAGTACCTCCATATGCTTACCATGGCTTTCAACCTCGCCACCGCTTGTTTCTTATCCTGCGATTCATTAGTGTAAGCTTGCTTCTTTTCGAGGAGTCCATTTTTCAACTGATACACTCAACTGATTACTCTCGGCCCATACATACTCACCTTTCTGCCAGTCACATCATTGTCGGTTGCGAATCTCGCAAGAACAAGTACTGCGATCTTAGGATATTTGTCGATCCTTACACCCTTCATACACCGACCGATCATATTACAACGGTCACATCGATAATCTAACATGTTAAGGAAGTGTGTTGTCATATTAGGGGTTGTGCAGTTCCAAGAACTGACAGGATGCGTCTTGAAGAGCATCCACAAGAGACATGCAAATTTCATCTGTAACACATGTATTCCTTTGTAGCCTCGAGACCGACCATATACTTGACTTCCCACCTTCAGCTAGTCTAGCTGAAGTTCTAAGAACTGCCGCAACCACGCTCAACATATGAGATCGAAGGCCGCCAGTATCGAGTGGAATCCCTTCAAGCGATTTGAGTTATGAAGACTCACCGATCATCTTGTGCAATAAGAAGGCCTCCTCCGAAATGAAGAACTCATGGAGAGTAGCAACGATGCCACGTACTTTGCTCCTAGCTTGCGACGTGACCAGTGCTTTGGACCAACCAACACGGAACAACGAGGTTGTCAGTGATAACTTATCACATCCCAGTTGAATGTAGTGCAAAGCATATTTCCTTGT